CGGAAATTGAAGATTTGGCGAAAGTTTCTCGCCGATTTGGTGGCCGGCTGGGTTCCCGGGTTCCCGGTTCCGGGTTGCCAGGTTCTTGGTCATTCATTGGTTCTGGGCCGATTTCGGTGGATTTCAGATTCTCGGGCTTCCCGGGTTCCCCGTCGATCTCCGTATCGATCTTTTTATCGATCTCATTTCGAACCATCCACTGATTGGGCCGTTTCTCTGGTGTATTTTTTGTTCTTCGAACATTTCTGGGTTTGGTATGCCTATAGGAATGCCGGGACGGTCGGTCCCTGCTCAAGGGGGGCCCTCGTCGCCACCGCTGGCTTCGCCTCGAACCCCTGGTCAGAGCGCGCCCCGGTCCAGGGAGTAGCATTAAGTCGGGCGTGCCCCTCTACAGGAGAAGTGTTCAAAAATAGTACAACACAGTCTGGGGACATTGAATAATAAATTTATACAACTAAGAATAATAGTACTTATTATTATTGTTATTATTAGTAGTATTATTTTTATTGTTCTTATTATTATTGTTGTTATTATTACTACTACTACTACTACGACTACTACTATCATGATCATACTATTATTAGTATATATATATATGTATATATATATATATGAAAACAAACAAACCATCTGCTCCTCCAACACCCGCCTGTTGGGGGACATGCCCGACCTGAGAGTAGCAGCGTCGGTTTTGGTTTGCGCGAGCGCGCGTACATTTTCTCGGCGAGGCCAGGGCCCGAGCGCCCGGACCGCGCCCCGGAGCACGCGGCACCCTCTCGAGGCACAGGTGCGCAAGCAACCGAACGGTGCCTCGGGAGTGGACGTCAGAGCGATGGCAGGTTCGGGCCGACCGAACGGGGGGGGACAGGGAAGACCGGGTAAAAAGGGGGGTTACGAAATCTGCTGCATGCAGCTGGTTTCGGCCCCGCCGCCGGGCCCAGTCCTCGATACTGCGTGAGCTGTTTCTCTGCCCTGCCCTTTGCTATCCTCCCCCCTTTCTTTCGCTCTCCCCGACAGGAGCTTCCGGGCCTCCCAGGTCAGGAGGGAAGAAAACACACAGACACAAGTAATCGTCGACTCCCCAGAAAATATAGGAAAATCTGGGAAGTGGGGGGGAAGACAAACACCCAGAAAATCTAGGAAAATACGAGAACTCCTGTTATTAGTTTGTATTTATTTGTGTGTATTTATTTGTGTGTCCCAGGGCCCCTTCAACGAAGTCCGCGCGGACTAGGGGGATATGGCCGTGGTCATGATATCACCTCAGATCTCATGGCCCTCCCATCTTGCTTCAATGCGTTCCCCTGGCCGCCCCCCCTGGCCGCGCACGTGCCTCGGACCATGGATTGCGAACCCCCCTCTTGGACACACCCATCCTGGACGCCCCCGGCAGATTTGGTCGCAGCAGAAGGGTGTGGGGGTTCGCGCCGCACCGCCGATACATCGGCGATGCGGCGCGATGTGGAGGCCGATTTTCTCAACGCGGACGTCGCCGATGCATCGATGACGTCGCCGACGCATCGGCGATGCGGGACGATCCACCGACCTTATTTCTGCTCAGACCCCACTTGGGAGGCTAATTGCTTGACTAACTGCCAGACCATCCCAACCCAACCCGAAGACCCGAATTTCGGGTTGGGGGGGGTACGGGGTTCATATGTGTTTTTTCAATGTTCCCCGACCCCCCCCTCCCACTGGAGATGGAGGGCAAATTGGGGCCTTCGGGTTGGGCTGGGGTGGTTTGGTGGGCGGTCATTGCTGGGGTAGGGCGGGGATGAGGGGCAAGGCTATGGGGGGATAGGCTCAGGAGGGATGGACGGACGGATCGAAGTTTGCGGTCTTATGGCGCTCTCATCGGGCCTCGGCGGTTCCCCAGCTTCGGGATGCTCTCCGGCAGCTACGCCTGGCCAAGAGCCTTCGGGGAGGGCCCTGATGATGGGCCTGTTGTCCATCACCACCACCAGAAGTTGGAGGGGGGGGGGTCCTCCTCCTATTCCTCCTCCTCCTCCGCCTCCTTCCCCCCATCCAACTTATGGTTGTGGGGGTGGAAAGCAGGCCCGTCACTCTGATCTCCCCGAACGGCCGCTGAAGGCCCGAGTCATGGCTCGAAGACCACCAGGCGCTGGGATAGGGTCAGGGTTTGGGTTCTCTTGGGAGATCGGGTCTGGGGCGCGGGGAGGTCTTCGGGTTCCGCGGCCGCCGCTGCAAAGGGGACGTTAGGTTGTTGCCGCCGTCCTCCTCGGCCTCTTGTTTGTGGAGCTCCTTCGGGCTCCTCGGGCTTGCCCCCACTGTTCCTGCCCTCGAGTGGCCCGATGACGAACAATTCTAGATGTACGCGTTTCGCCGGAGATTCCCAGGGTTCGCCCTGCCGGGCCAGGGAGGGACGCCTCGCCCCCCAAGCGCGCAGGGATCGCCGACTGTGCGGCCACGGGTGCCCGCCCGGCCCAGGGGCGTCGGCGGGCTCCGCAGCGGTGGCTTGCTGCCGATCCGTCGCCGATGTGTCGCCGAGTCCAGGTCGATGTTCGGGGAAGCGTAGGACTCGAGTGCGCAGGACCTCGGCTTTGTCGGCGCTTGTTGACGAGCGCGTCCGGGACTTTGATGTGCGTTGCTCAGCGCTGCGTTTCTGAAGCCGCCGTGTAGAATTGCATCGGCGACGAGCGTAGCTGGTGCCGTTTCGCCGCGAGGTTCGCGCTCGATGCTGCCAGCGACTTGGCTTCAATCGAGATTTTATGTTTGGCTTTTTGTATTCGACTGCGCTGCACCCGTGAGTTTTTTTCCTCGAGGTGACTGTGCCTACGCGCCAGACGACGTTTGGCTTTGCTGTCTGTCGGTCTGCTGTCGCTCCCTCCGTTTCCATCGGATCGCACACATTTGGTTTTGAATGAAGCCGCGTCGCTCGTCACGCATTTCAAACGCTGGTAGCGCTGAGCCTCCCCCAGCGGGTGTGCGCGGTCTCTGGAAAGGGGTGGGCGAGGACCAAGGATCGAACTTTCACGAGCAAGGCCCGGGCACCGCGTCCACACGGGATGATGGGGGGCGCGCGAGACGTGGCAAGCATGGCGGGCGGATCCGCCCGCGAAGGGCCCCAGACATGCTGAAGAGCCCGAGCAAAACTCTGAATCTGACCGCGAAGGACACCAAGAAGAACCGACGACCAGCAAGAAAAAGGGCCGACGACAAAACGCAAATCCGACGACACATCCAAGCGACACACAGATCAACCGTCAGCGACAAACAACAGGCGGTCGACGACATATCCACTCTGCGGCGCAGGGACGCAACGAACCCGAAGTTGCGACAGCAACATGCTTTCGGGAGCGCCGCTCGCATATGTCAACTCACATGGAGCGTTGACCGCGGGGCGACTCTGTCACTAGGTACTGCCGGGCGATTTGTCATCGCGCGTTCCGTGCGCCCAGAAGGGCTCGCGCCCGCGCTGGGATTCCCCGCGCGCGCCGAGGCCTTCGCGCGCGCGCGCGGCGCGCCGCGGGGGTGGCGCACGCTGGAGATGCGCGCGCGCGCGCCGGCGCCATCTCGCGCACCTCAGCTGCGGGCGAAGCCCCGGCGCGCGGCGCTGGCACGCGCTCAGGGGGGATGATAAAACGACGCGAAGATCGGGACAAAATCGGATCGGGATAACTCGAAATCTCTGAGAATCGGCGGGTTTGGAGGATGTATTGGGCGCCGCGGCCGCTCCAGAGCGTTCTGGAACGCTCTGAGAGCGCTCCGGAACGCTTTGGAGCGATTTATCCCGATCCTAGCCCTGTCTTAGATGACGCGCGTGCAACAAAATTGCGACTCACCAAAAGCAGCGTGTGGTCCGTCCGCGTGGCACGCGGCGCGAGACCAGCGTTCACGCGAGAGCCACGCTTCGGGGCGGGCGGTGCCAGAGTTGAATTCGCATGTCGCTCAACGCAGGCTGGCACCTTGCAGTTGAGAACTGTGGAAGTCAGCTCGGAGTTTCTGTCATGCATTAATATGTATGTGCGTATATATAATATGCGATGTGTTTGTGGATCCTGTCTCATAGGTTGTGAGGATGTGACTGTTGCCCTTCGGGGGGGGGGGGTGCCGCGACGCTCCTCATCGTCGCCATTTCCTGGGTGACGAAGAGAGACGGAGAAGGGAGGGCTGGGAAGGGATGGAAGAAGCGTAAATCAGGCGATCGCGCAAACATGGACTAAGGGGGCGTGGATTAGCGACGGGTCCCGTTTCCATGGGAAATCGCGAATTTCCGCCGCCGAGCGAGGCGGCATTGGCCGCATTTTGGGGAGGGCACTTTCCCCGATCCATGGAGTTGGCGACCGTGCGCCAAATCCATGGATCGCTAATCCATTTTTGCGCGCCCCCGAGTAAACAAGAGGGGAGGGGCGCCTTGGCCCCTCCTGGCGGCGCACACAACGGGATACAGGGAAGGGGGGGTCATTAGAGGGAGGCTGCTTCTGAGAAGGCGCGCGCCTTGCCTGCAGATGTAGGGCTGGCGCCTTTGGAGAAGCAGCCTCCCTCCAAGAAGCATCCCTGTCTCTCTCTATCCCCGCGTACGCGCCGCCAGCCCTGGCCACCTGTGTTGAAACTGGACGGGCGCTGGGGTTTCCGAGGCGAGAACGGAAGGGCAGGGGGCGGGAAATGGGCGCCGCTGCGGCAACACCGTGCAGCCGGAGGAGGGCCGCTGGGGGACGGGGGCGGAATTAGCAGACGTCCGTGGGCTGGAACGGATCCTTTCGGACGACGTGGGTACGCCGGCCCGTGTGAGCGGTGCCCAAGGGACCACGAGGACCTACCATGCATCATTCTTCCCTCAACCCGTCCCACCCCTCACCCATGCTGTCTAGATTTCTCCAGGGACGCAGGCGAGGAGAGGAAGAGGAGGAGGAGGAGGAGGAGGAGGAGGAAAAGGATGAGAGAACCACGACGAAGATAAGGATCAGGACCCCACTTCTCCCTTCTTACCTTTCATGAAGGGAAGGAGGAAGGAAGGTTTAGCACTGGTCCCCCCAAAGGCAATCGTGTTCCAGCACGGCGAGCGAATAACCCTCCACATCGGCGACAGGACGGCCGATAGACCGTGTCCGTCGCAACCGTCGTCTTCCCGCCCGCGCGCGTCTCCCTGGCTTTTGTCCCATCCCTGCTTCCCTTGTTCCTCCTCTCCTCCTCCTACTTGTTTCTTCCTTCTCTCCCTCAGAGCGTGAATTACCTACCCCGCTTTCGCTTCCAGGCAAAACCAAGCCATACCACGCGTCTTCTCGTCAAGCGGCCTGACCAGTAAAGGCTGCAATTTGGCATCGTTTGGTATCTCTTGGAAGCGAGGGTGGTCAAAAGCGAGGTAGGTTTGTTTTCCCCCTGCTCCCTCCATCCTCCCTTCCCCCCCGCTCGTCTCCATCCCTCTCTCCGCCCTCCTCCCTCGTCGTCCTGTGCCGCTCCCTCCGCCCCCTGCTGGCCTTCCTCGTCCCTGCCGCCCCCTGTTTTTTATTGTGCGTCCTGCCTCAACTACCGATTACACTTCAGGCGATGCTTAAGAAAACCCAAGTTTTCGACCAGAGTCTCGATGATTCTTAATGTTTCAATGTAAATCGTAAGATTTTGATAGAAATGTTGGGTTTGTATTCAAGGTCTGAGACTCTGAGTTTCTTAACCCATGATTTCTTAAGCATTTCGCAGGGTGTACCCCACCCAGGCTTCTAATCGAGGAGGTTTTTTGTTTACCCTCGGGCGGGTAACGCTCGTTACCCCGCCGCCCCCCCCCCCCCCTCCGGGTAACGTTAACCTATCGTACATGCGTGAGTCTCCTCTGTCTTGGCTTTGGGCTGGGTTGGGCGAAGGCATGGGGGGCTGACGGTTCTGCGGGAGGCACCGCGAGCGCGCTTCTCCTCGCAGGGCGCGCCAGAGGTGTCCTCGCCCCCCCTCCACTCGAGCGAGTCGCTCTGCGAAGGGGGCGCAAGCGCGTTTCATTGCTGTCCGTCGGGATGGTTTTGTGGCATTTGTAGCCTCGTGACCCCCCCCGAAAGGCCACTCCGGCCCACTTCCAGGGCCCCCTGGATCA